GACTGCAGCGAGCTGTATGGGCCCAGCTGGGTACTACTTTATAGTATGTTCATTCTACTCACTGGGGTTTATGCCTAAAGTCAGACTTGGGTTCATGTATAGGTATGTGTCAGCTGTGCTAGCTATTGGATATATTTAGACTAATTAAGTTCATTGGCAGAACAATGGAATGGGGGGGAAGGCATGGAGGGCAACCATGGATGCCAGGGACAATGGGGGAGGAGGATGGGACATAGCAGAGGGAGGGGGATGGGGAATCAAGGATGGCAAAACAAAAGGCAAGGTATGCAGGACATAAGAATTGGAAAATTATTTGCTGAGAACATGTATGTTGATGTGCTTGATTGAGCCAATGCACAGGGTATTTTGGATGGAAAATTCATTTGTGTGTTGTGATGGTGTATAGTGAATTAATATAGAAAATGAATAAATTTAAAAAATAAAAAAAAGCATGCAAGAAAAGAACATCCCAAGTCCCAAGCTCTGTGCATCTATCCCGTGAAGACTGTCTTTCACTCCCCCAATTCTCTCTGAGCAGCTACATTCTGTGTCACATAGCACAACACTCAACAGTATACTCTGCTGTTTGAAAACTGCAGCGATACTTTTCTGATTATTACGGTTGTGCATTCATCACCAAAGGCTTGGAAAATATAGAATAGAGTGAAGAAGAAAAAGATTATGCCTCCTTCCCCATCCATAGGAAACTACAATAACATCGTGTCTTCTCACTATGTATTTGTAGATAAAAGTAATGTGTTTTGCAAAATAATAGTTGCACAAATATTTCCTTGCATGAGTATACATGAATATTTATAACCAATTCTTTCCCACTATGCATCTAAGAAATTCCCAATTTTTCACTCTTGTAAATAATTCATTGTACAAATCTCCGATGATTTCTCTAGTAAAGATAAATACTCTCTTATTTTCCTCTTCCCCGACCAGCTTAATGGGTATAGTCTAATCTCTTCAAACCATCCTAAGTTCCTAGAGGTCAAATTATAAAACATATTCAAAGACAAGCACAGAGAAGGTGAACAATGTGCAATTACTATAATCAGCACGCAATTCCATGGTAAATCTGCAAGGGCACTTGTTCTGTAACTGCAAACTGCAATCTGATAATACATCGGGGGCAATAAACGTTATACTTACAAGACTAAAGAGAAAAATGGGCTCACATTTATCTCTAAAAGGCTGCAAAGTCACAATGTTGTCAGCTTCTGCCTGAAAAAGAAGCAAATGTTTCATATATAAAAAAGGAAACGATGCCCGAGTCAGTTGGTAACACTCTGCTCAGACAGTGCAGAGATACATGCAGGGCTTTGTTGGTTCGTTGTTGTTTTATGGGTATATTTTAAGGACTAATTTGCATACATTGGCAATTCAAGCGCTGCATCATTTGGCCTCAGCTTACCTCTCACTGCTCCCCTTCAGGGTGATCAAGCTTTAGCCAAACTCTTCTCCTTCCTCCTTCCTCCCCGATGCCTGTCCTGTCCTTTTTCAAACCCAGCTCATGTATCTTCCAAGAAGCAAGTCTGATTCCCTCCTGCTGCGTCACCTCTCATACAGCATAGCACTTACTGCCCCCTCTCAGGGCACCTGCTGTCCCTTCCCTATCGCGCTACAGACCCAGCTCTGGTGCAGACTGCACTGCTGGAAGCCATGTAGCTGACAGTGGGCTGGAACTCCAGCCCTGTTGACCGGAAACGTGCTGGGCATGTGTGAACACGCCAGATCCTGGCAAGCTGGAGGGTTGGAGGAAGGGAGTCGCAGCACAGCCAGCCCCTCTGGGAGTGCTCCTCGACCTCTCTCCTCCTACTGCGCTGGTGTGCACGTGCGTGCACTTTCTATCGGATAAAATAAACTCAGAAAGCTATAGCACAAATACACGCAGGCTGAGTTGTCTGCTTTGTTAGGAGAGCGAAGAGGGAGTATGTTTCTTCTCTTTTTTTTCTTTTCTGATTGTTACCAGGCACATGTGTTCACCAGAAAGAGACAGAGAGACAGCGAGAGGATAAAGGGGAGGCAGCACCCCACCCCAAGGGGGTACGGTCATGCCACGGTCTCCTTTCCACCATTTCTCTGTTCTCTTGGGAACTGGGACAGGCGTGTGCACACGTGCCTGCTGTGCCTTTCAAGCCTCTGGGGCCAACATTCAAATCTCGGTCAGCCATGCGGAACCCAGTTTCCTTCCCTGGGCTGTGGGGCCAGCCCTGGAGTAGGCTTTTAACCACCTTTGTACCTCAGCACTCTCCTCTGTGTCCCTCACAGGAGCTTACTAAATGCTTCTAGAATGAGCTGGTAGTCAAATTTTGTTCCTTGATTTTTTTATATTAGTAATTTTCTTAAAACTTTCTCACAGATTTCAGGTTGTTCTAAATTGATTATAAACAGCCACATATTAACTAGAAGTGCCTCCTCCATATTAGGATAGCATCCTTTGACTCGGCTGTTGGATAGAGGCTGTTGGCAGGTCCTCCCAGGAGCTGGTGCTCAGTCAACCGGGGAGCTATCGCAAGCTGCCATAGACTGGGTGGCCTAACAGCTAACCTTATTTCCCTTGGTTCTAGAGGCCAGAAGTCCAACATCAGGTGCCGGCAGGGCTGAGTCTTCATTGAGGTCCTTCTTCCTGGTTAGATCCTGACTGGGAAGAGATGGTATGTCTCTTCTCTTCCTCTTTTCATAAAGGCAATAATTCTATCTTAATTATCTCCCAAAGGTCTTGCCTCCAAATGCTATCATGTTGGGAATTAGGGCTCCAGCATATGAATTCCGAGGGCAAGTTTGGTCCATAGTCATTAGTTTCTATAATCTCAGGCAATGGTTTTCAGCCTGGGATTTCTGGACATTCCTCAACAGCTACCAAGGATGCAGAGGGCAGCTAAGCAAAGCCCCCAGAGCCCTGTGTCAGCAAGAGAGGATGTTCTGTAATGTGTTCTTAACTTGGTGGGTTCTGCATTGTCTTCTTTTAAAATTAAAAGTCTACCTCTCTCTCTTTTTTTAAAGGAGTCTGAGTGGAGCTAATCTATAATAAAAGCATAAGAAGCAAAGATTGTATTTAGAAGTAGCCCAGGGCAGCCTCATTATACTGTTTGTTTTATAACACAGCATTAAGAATGAACTAACTTAACGATTACATGATAACTATAATAAGTAATATTTCCTACATGTTTTCTTTCTTTTTCTCATTCCTTTGTTTGCCAGAGGGCTCATGCACTTGCCAGAGAGAGAGAGAGAGAGCACGCGCTCCGTCCAGTGGAGCGTGGCTGCACTGTAATACCGTCTCCATTTCTCCATGTCCAGATGTGGGACACGCACAGACATGTGTTCAGTGTGTGCTTCATGCTCCCAGGGCTAGGATTCAAATTACGGTCAGCCATGTGGGATCCAGCTCCCTTAATCATTGGGCTAGGCTTTGGGGCTAGCTCTGTTTTTGTATTTATAAATTCACTATGCTATAAATCTTGCGCATGTACACATACAAGGGGACTTCAAAAAGTATGTAGAAAAAGGAATTACAGTTTGTTTGCCTTAGTGCAACAATTTTTGAAATCCATGTATAATTTTTTCATCATACACATTTTCCATCAATTTTTTGAAGGCACTCGTGTGCGTGTGTGTGGTGTGAAATGTTTAGTGTTCGTCTTTTTGAAGGGTACACAGTAGAGAAATCATTTATACTGATCGTCTAGCTCAGGGTGATTTTAACGGGTAATCAACATCGTAGGTTTTAGTTTATTATTATTACTTTGTAATGCCAGAGGGCATCCGTGCATGTTCAGGAGAGGAGCGGGAGAGGGAGCGCCCCCATGGGACGTGGTCACCTCATCCATCTCTCCCCTCCAGCGCTCCATCTCCCAGGAGCCGGGCATGCATGCCTTTACCGGCTGAGGCCAGCACTCAGACCCTGTCCGGCCACGTGGTATCTGGCTTCCTCTATCCCGTCCTCAACTGTTGTTCTATGGCGCTGGCTCCCAACCTCACAGGTTTTCCCTTTAACTTGGGTTTACAAGTTCAGATGTCCCCTTCCTTGATTAACTGCAGAAAACAAAATGTCCAGCAGAGGGCGTCCCTCTACTGTTGTTCAGGATGGAGGTTTGAGAAAATAGATCTTTTACATTTTTTTATTTCAATTTATTTATTTGCATTCATTCACTGTACATCATTACAGCATACAAAATGAGATTTTCCATCCAGAGTACACTGTGTATTGTCTCAATCAAGCACATCAACAAGCATGTTATTGTCAACAAATAATTTTCCATTTCTTGTTTCCTGTATGT